CTTCGGATTGTTGGAGAAATTGGCCTCTGTTTTTACATCTGCAGGGTGCACTGTAAACATGTCCTCTGGTTGTCCCGAATGTTTTTGAGAAATCATCTTGGAATCTGATGACTTACTTAAATCTTCGAGGGACTGAAATTTGCGTTTTCTAGTGTTCTTCTGCATTGTTGCTAAAAATACAGAGTTTTCTAAAAAACAGTTTGTTGCCTTAGGCGTCGCTTTACTTTGCTGCATGTTCATCGAGAGTCGATAACAAAATGATTTAGCATTTGAAGTTGCCCTATATTTATAGACAAACAGTGTGATGTCACGTGATGTCATCACATCAAAGGAATCAGAAATCAAAGGACAGTGACATCACATGACATCACATGGCATGTGACATCACATGACCACATGACATCAGATAACATCAAAGGCAACATGACATCAGATGACATCACATGACATGTGACATCACATGTGACATCATCACTTGTCATCAGCCATATGTTTGGATTGAAGCCTGGTAACTGTTAAGCTCCACCTACCAACAAATAACACCTGCCCCACTAAAGTAGATCCTCCTTTTAAATAATTTAAAATACTCATTACTTAGCTTGCCATGTGTTCTTGTTCTTTGTGTTTTTCAACAATTTTGACTATTAAATGTAAATAACATTATTTTTGTTTAATCACTTTCCAACTACATGCACAAAGTAGCCTTAATTTGCTCTAATTTGTGGTGAAGTTGTCCTCCAGTAGTCCATCTACTTTCCGCGTTGCACCAGTACCACATAATGATGGTACCACCACCATGCTTCACAGTTAGATACCTGCTTAAAGGTGTGATTTTTGACACAGGGGCTTCTTTCTTTCCCCTCTCAGTGCATAGTGATGCACAGTTTAACTGGCTTTATTGAGGAAAAGGACTCTGGCTTGAGTCTTAGTGGTTCCTGAACTTTCTAACCAAATTCCCTTAGTCTGAGGTAGACAGACACGTGTTGGTCAATACAGTGAGTGCTGTAAAACGTAACCTTTTTAATACTATTAAAGGTAAACCACCAGCTGCAGTCAATTGTGTGTAATAAGAAGTTAAGGCCTCGGTCTTATCAAGGTTTCAAGACGATCTTGATTTTTTTTAGCACCAGTTAAAATTAGAGTGGTACGCCAATGACCCCCGTCGCTGAGGGAATTGAATATAAATGTTTGTAGTTTTGGAGATGAGCGTTTTTCTGAACTGAAATTGAACAGGGAATACAAGTAAAAATATTTGTGATACAAGATATTCAAGTATGAGGGAGGTACACTGCGTAGAACAAGAGAGGTACATTATTTATAATTTTTTTACTTGTCCGAAGCAGTTCAGAACAACCGATCCTGGTGAGTGGAGGGAGCAATTTAACCGTCAACAAGTGCAATGGAGCCAGGGGGTTACCAGTGATGGCCTTAGCCATCCTAGAATAATGTTTGGTCATTCGAGGAAACCATACTTTTAAGGAATATAAAAACTAAAAAGCAGTTTCCTTAACATACTGTATATAAGGCAGTGGCCATCTTGGATTTTGACATGGCAACCCAATTTTTAATTGGAACATTTCTTACGCCTAGATGCAGCCACACACCAAAATGGAAGTTTGTACCTCATGTATTTTTCATATTATCAAGCTCACAAGATGGATGGAGGGCATTTCCAATTCTCCTCTTTGCTTTGCAACGGGGAACAAAAGTGGGGAAGTTTATGTATATTTGAGGCCATATACCAAGTATTACATTTCTATTTAATAATTCAGAGTAATAACAATGAAGCTGACTTATAGGGTGTGCTTGTATTATCCCATCATTGGTTTCCATCTTTACATTTATCCTTTCTTCATAGCCCAAAGAGAAAATTAAGCAACTCATGTTTTACAAAAAGACAGTTTTACTCCTGAGATCTTTTGTTTTCATCATATAGAGCACATTTTGATTTCATGTTCCCCTTAAAAAAATTTTTTTTTGCTGTGTCTCTGTCCACGTAACCATGTGAAACCGAGATTTACCGACACAGTCCACACTTCTGTCGTGTGTCTGTATTGTGGTCTGCCTATCAGCTTTTTGGTGAAGTGACAGCAGAGGGAGATAAGATGATGCCGAGGACTAGGAGACACAAGGTGGATGTTGGAAAGGGAGACAGCGATGCAGCAAAAGAGACTGACATGGCCTCAGGAGGGTGGCTGGGCTGTTGAAGAAGAGAGGTACAAGAGGAGACGAGAGCTTAAGACTGAGGAGAAAAATTAGAGATTTCAGTGTAACCTAGAGAAACTGCATTTCCTGCGAAAACTGTGTGAATGCTTATTTACTGTTGCTGAATAAGCAACAATATTAGCAAAATTGTTATTTACTGTTGCTGGTCCCGGTGCTGAAAAACAACCACCCAAACTCACACAGTGACTACAGATCTGTAGCCTTGACATCACATGCCATGAAGTCGCTGGAGAAGCTGGTCCTCAAGCACATCATATCAGTGGTGGAACCATACCTGGGCCCCTACAGTTCGCATACCAGCCACACATTGAAGTTGACAACACCATCATCTACCTTCTGCACAGAGCCACCCGGACAGGGCAGGCAGCACTGCAAGAGTCATGTTCTTGGACTTTTCCAGTGCTTTTAACACCATAAGACCTGCTCTACTCTGCAGTAAACTGTGGGACATATAGGTGAACGAGTCGCTGGTCACCTGGATCGGAGACTAGTTCACAGGTCGGCCACAGTATGCGAGGCTGCAGAACACCACCTCGGACACCGTACTGAGCAGCACAGGGGCTGCTCGGGACCATCCTGTCACTGTTTCTGTTCACCCTCTACACTTTGGACTTCAGGTACAACTCGCAATCCTGCATCTGCAGAAGTTCTCAGATGACTGCCATTGTGGGCTGCATCACTGGTGACAAGGAAGCTGAATACAGAGGTGTGGTGGACAGCTTTGTGCAGTGGTGTGGACAGAACCACCTGCAACTCAATGTTGGAAAAATTAAAGAGATGCAGGTGGACTACAGGAAGAATATCACCCCACCCCTCACCCCAACCCTTTCAACATCAAGGGTACTAAGGTGGACACTGTGGGCTGATACAAGTACCTGAGGGTCCACCTAGACAATAAACTGGACTGGACAGCTAACACCAACCCCCTCTAGAAGAAAAGCAGAGTCGCCTTTTTCTTCCGAGAAGACTCAGGTCCTTTAACATCTGCAGGACCATGCTGCAGATGTTTTACTACTTTGTGGTCTCCAGCATCTTCTTCAATGCTTTGGCGTGCTGGGGCAGCAGGGTGAAGAAAGCTGATGCCAACAGACTTGATAAACTCATCAAGAGAGCTGGTTCAGTTCTGGGAGTGGACCTGCAGTCTCTGACAGAGGTGTCTGAGCAGAGGATGCTGAAGAACCTGCTCCAGATCCTGAACAACATGTCACACCCCCTGCATGACACACTGGACTCTTACCGCAGCACCTTCCGTCATAGGCTGTTTTCACACCTGA